TGAGGGAAAATTGTCAAGAGCTGACGAATTTCAGAAGATTCGCTCAAACATCGAGAAACACCTGACAAAAGCTTACGAGAGAAATCAACGCACTTACGACCTGAGATCCAAGCCTCGTTCGTTTGAGGTAGGTCAAGAAGTAATAAAGAGAAATTTTTCTTTGAGTAGCGCGGCCAATAACGTTAACGCTAAACTAGCTCCAGTTGGAGTGAAGGCTCGCGTAAAGCAGAAATGTGGCCAACTGATTTATCTACTGGAAGACTTGAACGGTAAAGAGCTGGGGAAATTTCACATTAAGGATATTTGGTAGCTAGAGACAAAAGTCTGCACCCTTCCTTGTTGTTGTTTCAGTTTTATCTTTGGTCAAAACCCTAAGATAAAATCTGGCGGGGGGTGTGAAGGTTGCAGACCAAAAACAAAAGGTTAGAATGTCTGTTTTTTTTTGGGGAACAGTCTTCTAATTTTATCAAGAAAATATTGAACCTCCCCCACTGTACGCATTCCAGCGAGAGCCCACATGCAAGATCAGAAGCTGTTATCTTGAAAAGCTCTCTCTTTCGAAATTGCATGTGCGAGCACCGTTCACATGTGAGCTTTTCTCTCTGCAAACATAGCTTACGGCTAGCCCTTCGAGAACCTTCTTAGCTCTCTCATACACAGCTTTTGGAGGGGTAAAATAGTTAGGCTAAGTGCATGCTGCACAGAACAAAAATTGCATTCAAGGTTGGAAGACTTAATTGATGTGCGTGTAGAAAATATACAAAAACAAAAAAAAAACGTGGTGAATAGTTTGCAAAACCATAAAAGGGAACATAAACCAAATAAAAACCAATATAAAAGTGTTGTGGCTGCAAAGACGAAAACTTAAAAACCAACCCCTGGATAAGGTACGCCAAGAAAAAAATGAAAAAGTGACCTTATTACATAATTCCATGTATGTACTGTACATAGGTTATGATCCACGTGTGGCAGGAAATTGCTGACCTGGCCTGACCCTCGGTCTCGGAGGGGGGGTCCGCTCCAGTACCACGATCATCCGTCCCTCTTTTTGGTGCCACCGGACCTTGCCTGCAGGCGAAAAAACGGATGGACTTGGCGATCGGGACCGAGTTGTTTATATACATATATCTCACGCGCAACTATAAAACCATCTATTATATTATATCACCGCGCCTTGTGTAAAGAAATGTTGGTGCTTGCATATGTAGGGTGTGGAAAAATTAGCTCAGCGGTCATTGCCCTTGCGGCTGACCATACACCTATGCGCACTTAAATAGACCCACCTGACCGTATGTCACCTATTCTCTCCTTCTCTCAGGTTATTAAAATTGTTCGATGCCGACATTCTAAAAGCCACTTAAGGGAAGAAAAGTGAATCACAAAAATCTAGAAAAGAAAACTTAATGAAAAATTATGGATAGAAGAAAAAAAATAGAAAAGAAAATTGTTCAATAATATTAAATATTCCTAGACATTAACTTAGAAATAGAAGAAGAAAAACATGAAATTTATGCGTAGTTAATAATAGATTCTAAAAGGGTGCATCATCGGTCTCATTGTGTCCATGGAAGGGTATTGGTAAAATACCTCTTCATAACGCTTCTTGTTATTTTGCATATTTCTACATTTCTTTAACAGTTAGAACGTGAAATTGGGCCCAACGACACCAACAGCTGTTTAAAAGTCTGTAAGTAGACACACATATACACACCTACACTCCGGGTCAGGAGAATAGCGTCTACACAGTGAGACATGCATGCTTAACCATATATAAAATGAATTATTATTAACTATAATCACTACAATTATGCCATTTAATTCATTTAATTAATTAATTCTTACTTTATATTTTGATTATATTATTTTTATTCATATTGGATCATTCTCTTGAATTCCTATGTATTAGTCCCACATATATATATCCATGCAGTAAAAATAGTTTTAAGGGTTAGGGTAGAAATAATGGGGGTTACAAACAACCTGAAGTTATACAAGTCAAAGTAAAATTATAACGATTTAACATGAATTTCTAATCTGATTTTTGGGAGGGGTTCCTAAAGCACATAGGCAGCAGCGGCAGGTTTTGGGTAGAACCATAATGGCATATTCTTATGTTATTCTACATGGAGGGTGGGTCAAGAGGGAAGAGCACATCCACCTTGCTCTTCACAGTAGGTAGTGGACCTTAAGTTCCGTCCGGGTTTGTAATTCCGATCCCAGTTCCCGTAAATCTGTCTACGATTTTGTTAGGTGACGGAGTTCGTTTTCGCAGCACACCACCCACCCCATTTTCCCTGAGCCTAGCCGGCAAACTTTTAGTAGACAGAGAGTGCTGACGAGACGACACTTCCCGTGTCCGTTACA